CAAGCATTCTTCATTTTTCACTAGGTTTCTTTTCATCTTCATTTCAATTGCTTTATTTCCACTAGTAGTATTAGTAGTAGTAATATTATCTGAAATTTTCATTAGATCAAGCATTGTCAAGAATTCTTCATTTTTCACTTGGATTTCTTTCATCTTCATTTCAATTGCTTTATTTCCACTAGTAGTATTAGTAGTAGTAATATTATCTGCAATTTTCATTAGATCAAGCATTGTCAAGAATTCTTCATTTTTCACTAGGATTTCTTTCATCTTCATTTCAATTGCTTTATTTCCACTAGTAGTATTAGTAGTAGTAATATTATCTGAAATTTTCATTAGATCAAGCATTGTCAAGAATTCTTCATTTTTCACTAGGATTTCTTTCATCTTCATTTCAATTGCTTTATTTCCACTAGTAGTATTAGTAGTAGTAATATTTTCTGAAATTTTCATTAGATCAAGCATTGTCAAGAATTCTTCATTTTTCACTAGGATTTCTTTCATCTTCATTTCAATTGCTTTATTTCCACTAGTAGTATTAGTAGTAGTAATATTATCTGAAATTTTCATTAGATCAAGCATTGTCAAGAATTCTTCATTTTTCACTAGGATTTCTTTCATCTTCATTTCAATTGCTTTATTTCCATTAGTAGTATTAGTAGTAGTAATATTATCTGAAATTTTCATTAGATCAAGCATTGTCAAGAATTCTTCATTTTCACTAGGATTTCTTTCATCTTCATTTCAATTGCTTTATTTCCACTAGTAGTATTAGTAGTAGTAATATTATCTGCAATTTTCATTAGATCAAGCATTGTCAAGGATTCTTCATTTTTTCACTAGGATTTCTTTTCATCTTCATTTCAATTGCTTTATTTCCACTAGTAGTATTAGTAGTAGTAATATTATCTGCAATTTTCATTAGATCAAGCATTGTCAATCATTCTTCATTTTTTCACTAGGATTTCTTTCATCTTCATTCCAATTGCATTATTTCCACTAGTAGTATTAGTAGTAGTAATATTATCTGCAATTTTCATTAGATCAAGCATTGTCAAGGATTCTTCATTTTTCACTAGGATTTTTTTCATCTTCATTTCAATTGCTTTATTTCCACTAGTAGTATTAGTAGTAGTAATATTATCTGCAATTTTCATTAGATCAAGCATTATCAAGTATTCTTCATTTTTCACTAGGATTTCTTTCATCTTCATTTCAATTGCTTTATTTCCACTAGTAGTATTAGTAGTAGTAATATTATCTGCAATTTTCATTAGATCAAGCATTATCAAGTATTCTTCATTTTCACTAGATTTCTTTCATCTTCATTTCAATTGCTTTATTTCCACTAGTAGTATTAGTAGTAGTAATATTATCTGCAATTTTCATTAGATCAAGTATTGTCAAGTATTCTTCATTTTTCACTAGGATTTCTTTCATCTTCATTTCAATTGCTTTATTTCCACTAGTAGTATTAGTAGTAGTAATATTATCTGCAATTTTCATTAGATCAAGCATTATCAAGTATTCTTCATTTTTCACTAGGATTTCTTTCATCTTCATTTCAATTGCTTTATTTCCACTAGTAGTATTAGTAGTAGTAATATTATCTGCAATTTTCATTAGATCATTATCAAGTTTCTTCATTTTTCAAGGATTTCTTTCATCTTCATTTCAATTTTTATTTCACTAGTAGTATTAGTAGTAGTTATTATCTGCAATTTTCATTAGATCATTTCAATTGCATTTTCACTTTTTCCTTCATTTCAATTGCTTTATTTCCACTAGTAGTAGTAGTAGTAATATTATCTGCAATTTTCATTAGATCAAGCATTATCAAGTATTTTTCTTCATTTTTCACTAGGAGTTTTTTCATCTTCATTTCAATTGCTTTATTTCCACTAGTAGTATTAGTAGTAGTAATATTATCTGCAATTTTCATTAGATCATTAGATCAAGTATTATCAAGTATTCTTCATTTTTCACTAGGATTTCTTTTCATCTTCATTTCAATTGCTTTATTTCCACTAGTAGTATTAGTAGTAGTAATATTATCTGCAATTTTCATTAGATCAAGTATTGTCAAGTATTCTTCATTTTTCACTAGGATTTTTTTTCATTCATTTCAATTGCTTTATTTCCACTAGTAGTATTAGTAGTAGTAATATTATCTGCAATTTTCATTAGATCAAGCATTATCAAGTATTCTTCATTTTTTCACTAGGATTTTTTTCATCTTCATTTCAATTGCTTTATTTCCACTAGTAGTATTAGTAGTAGTAATATTATCTGCAATTTTCATTAGATTATCAAGTATTATTTTCACTAGGATTTTTTCATCTTCATTTTTTATTTCCACTAGTAGTATTAGTTTAATATTATCTCAATTTTCATTTCAAGCATTATCAAGTATTTTTTTCACTAGGATTTCTTTCATCTTCATTTCAATTGCTTTAGTAGTATTAGTAGTAGTAATATTATCTGCAATTTTCATTAGATCAAGTATTGTCATTTTTTCACTAGGATTTTTTTCATCTTCATTTCAATTGCTTTATTTCCACTTTTTAGTAGTAGTAATATCTGCAATTTTCACTAGATCATTTTCTTCATTTTCACTAGGATTTCTTTTTCATCTCATTTTAATTGCTTTATTAGTATTAGTAGTAGTAATATTATCATTTTTCAAGCATTATTGCAAGATTTTTCATTTTCATTTCAATTTGCTTTATTTCCACTAGTAGTATTAGTAGTAGTAACATTATCTGCAATTTTCATTAGATCAAGTATTGTCAAGTATTCTTCATTTTTCACTAGGATTTCTTTCATCTTCATTTCAATTGCTTTATTTCCACTAGTAGTATTAGTAGTAGTAATATTATCTGCAATTTTCATTAGATCAAGCATTATCAAGTATTCTTCATTTTCACTAGGTTTCTTTCATCTTCATTTCAATTGCTTTTATTTCCACTAGTAGTATTAGTAGTAGTAATATTATCTGCAATTTTCATTAGATCAAGTATTGTCAAGTATTCTTCATTTTTCACTAGGGATTTCTTTTCATCTTCATTTCAATTGCTTTATTTCCACTAGTAGTATTCGTAGTAATATTATCTGAAATTTTCATGAGATCAAGCATTATAAAGCATTCTTCATTTTTCTCTAGGATTTCTTTCATCTTCATTCCAATTGCTTTATTTCCACTAGTAGTATTAGTAGTAGTAATATTATCTGCAATTTTCATGAGATCAAGCATTATAAAGCATTCTTCATTTTTCTCTAGGATTTCTTTCATCTTCATTCCAATTGCTTTATTTCAACTAGTAGTATTAGTAGTAGTAATATTATTTGCAATTTTCATTAGATCAAGCATTGTCAAGCATTCTTCATTTTTCACTAGGATTTCTTTCATCTTCATTTCAATTGCTTTATTTCCACTAGTAGTATTAGTAGTAGTAATATTATCTGAAATTTTCATTAGATCAAGCATTGTCAAGAATTCTTCATTTTTCACTTGATTTCTTTTCATCTTCATTTCAATTGCTTTATTTCCACTAGTAGTATTAGTAGTAGTAATATTATCTGCAATTTTCATTAGATCAAGCATTGTCAAGAATTCTTCATTTTCACTAGGATTTCTTTCATCTTCATTTCAATTGCTTTATTTCCACTAGTAGTATTAGTAGTAGTAATATTATCTGCAATTTTCATTAGATCAAGCATTGTCAAGAATTCTTCATTTTTCACTAGGATTTCTTTCATCTTCATTTCAATTGCTTTATTTCCACTAGTAGTATTAGTAGTAGTAATATTATCTGAAATTTTCATTAGATCAAGCATTGTCAAGAATTCTTCATTTTTCACTAGGATTTCTTTCATCTTCATTTCAATTGCTTTATTTCCACTAGTAGTATTAGTAGTAGTAATATTATCTGAAATTTTCATTAGATCAAGCATTGTCAAGAATTCTTCATTTTTCACTAGGATTTCTTTCATCTTCATTTCAATTGCTTTATTTCCACTAGTAGTATTAGTAGTAGTAATATTATCTGCAATTTTCATTAGATCAAGCATTGTCAAGGATTCTTCATTTTTCACTAGGATTTCTTTCATCTTCATTTCAATTGCTTTATTTCCACTAGTAGTATTAGTAGTAGTAATATTATCTGCAATTTTCATTAGATCAAGCATTGTCAATCATTCTTCATTTTTCACTAGGATTTCTTTCATCTTCATTCCAATTGCTTTATTTCCACTAGTAGTATTAGTAGTAGTAATATTATCTGCAATTTTCATTAGATCAAGCATTGTCAAGGATTCTTCATTTTTCACTAGGATTTCTTTCATCTTTATTTGGCCGAATATAAGCGTTGTCTGTCTATGTGCTGGTAGATATAGGCTCCCATTAACCAGAGCTCACGACAAAAACAGTTTTATTTCGTCCTTTCCTCAGCCGCGACGAGAAGACTTTCTATCGCTGTATATTAGGAGTTAACCAAATAGCCTCAGTGTCAACATTGACGTCTTCCAGTTTTTGATGCCATATTTGCAGCGTCCGACCTTCCTGTAATTCGTTTTTGGTCGTTTTAGTGTTAAAAGCAACTGAGGATCTAAAAGAAATGAATCGTCTGAACAGAAAGGAGACAATTAAACGAACTAGTAAACAAGCAGCAAATAATTACAATCAACATTAATAGCCACCGGAAAGTTGAACAATTTCAGCAATAGCAACAACAATAATAAACAGGTTAAATAGGCGATGGAGGAGTCCCAAATCGATGAGCCTGGAAACATGGCTGACGGCAATGTGGCGGAAAGCTTGAAGACAGACAGATCTAATCAGTTCGTAATTTAGATTGTACAGAAAGTTTGCTGCAAGGGTCAGAATTAGTTCACCGATCAATTAACTACCAGTGAATCGCTCTCGTCAAACTTATTCCAATAACAATATGGCTTTAGGTCTCTACGCACGCTCACACCGTTGAGAACTCAATCTGACACACATACACACATGGAAAGAACGGAGATAGATAGATAGATAGATAGATAGATAGATAGAATGAAAGAAAGATAGATAGAGAGAAAAAAAAAAAAAAAGAAAAATGAAAGAAAGAAAGAAGCAGACGGACATAGAGTGAAAGAAAGATAGATAGAAAGAAAGAAAAAGAAAGTATGAAAGAAAGAAGAAAACGTAGATAGATAGATAGATAGATAGACAGATAGAAAAAGAAAGAATGAAAGAAATAAAGAAGCAGACGGAGATAGATTGAAAGAAAGAAATAGAAAGAATGAAAAAAAGAAGACGACGTAGAGAGATAGAGAGATAGATAGAGAGATAGATAGATAGATAGATAGATAGATAGATAGAAAAAGAATGAAAGAAAGAAAGAAGCAGACGTAGATGGAATGAAAGAAAGAAAGATGAAAATGAAATGGAAAAATCGAAAAAGAAAGAAAGAATGAAATAAAGAATAAGAAAGGAAAATGAATTGGAAACTAGAAAATCAAAGAAAGAAAGAAAGAAAGAAAGAAGGAGACATAGATAGATATGAACAGAATGGGATAGATAGATAGATAGATAGATAGATAGATAGATAGATAGATAGATAGATAGATAGATAGATAAAAAGAAAGAAGAGGAGATAGATATATAGCTAGATAGCTACCTCGTTAGCAAGATAGATATGAAGAGTCTGATAGCTAGCTAGCTAGCTAGCTAGCTAGATAGATAGATAAAAAGAAAGAAGGGGAGATAGATAGATAGATAGAAAAAAGAGAAAAATAATGAAAGAAAGAAAGAAACAGACGTAGATACGTACATAGATATAAAAACACTGACAGACAGACAGATAGATAGATAGATAGATAGATAGATAGATAGATAGATAGATAGATAGATAGATAGATAGATAATGAACAGATTGAGATAGATAGATAGATAGATAGATAGATATGAACAGATTGATATAAATAAAAAGATGAAACAGATGAAACAGATGCAGACGTTGATAGATAGAAAGTTAGATAGATAGATATGAGGAGACTGATAGATAGATAGATAGATAGATAGATAGATAGATAGATAGATATGAACAGATTGCGATAGATATGGTAAATAGATATAAAAAAAGAAGCTGATATATATAGCTAGATAGCTACCAAGTTAGCTAGATAGATAAAAAAAGAAAAAATAATGAAAGAAAGAAAGAAAGAAACAGACCTAGATACATAGATAGATATGAACACACTGAGATAGATAGATATGAACAGACAACAGATAGATAGATAGATAGATAGATAGATAGATAGATAGATAGATAGATAGATATGAACAGTCTAGGATAGATAGATAGATAGATTAATTAGATAGATAGAAATTAGTGAAAGTTTTTCAAGCATTCCTTCTTTCTCTTTATTGTTAATACACCAACACCATATTTTACGACCGGGCTCCAAATAGCTGTCGATAAAGAAAAGTTTGTCGCTGAAAATTTACACCTATTTTCAAATAATAATCTTTTTCGTCCTTTCAACGAGAATCATTTTCATTTAGCTGAATGTAAATTGCAAATTAGGCTTTTTGTCCATCTGGGTCCATCCATGTACACCCGCCTACACGCACACACACGCGCGCACGCTCGCTCGCTTTTGCATCTATGCTATCTATCTATCTATCTATCTATCTATCTATCTATCTATCTATCTATCTATCTATTACGCAATCGTATATTATCTTACATTAATTGCACAACACCTAGTTTTATGCTGAAGCAATTTTCAAACTTGACAATTGCTTCGGCATGAATCAATGAGATATGCAATTAATGTAAGATATTACGAATATTATTATTATTATTATTATTATATATATATATATATATATATGTGTGTGTTAAATAACTCTGTTACTTTACATTGAGCAGTGTTTTTCTTACACTATTTAATATTTATATGTATTTGTATACGATCGCTATCTGGTATACTCATTGAATTTCATATATATATATATATATATATATAGATGTATGTGTGTATGTGAGAGAGAGAGTGTGTATGCGTATATATATATATATATATATATATATATATATATATATATATATATATATATATATTATAAATAAATGAATTTCAATTGTACCTTATTCGTAAATGGGGTTCCATTGAATTTCATTTATATCAAAATTATTTATATGCTCTGTAATAAATACATTGAGCCCCTTTTTGGATCAATTTTAATATTTTATATTATTAGGATTCAATATATATATATATATATATATATATATATATATATATATATATATATATGTGTGTGTGTGTGTGTGTGGACAGATTAAGACAAAAAGTAAAACTTATTTAGTCAAGGCGTTTCGTCCTCCGAGGGACTTTTGTCAAGGCAAATGTGAGAATTTTATTTTGTAACAAATATTTATAGACAAGAGCGAAAATTTTAGTAATTTTTATATTTCTTCATATTATCCTTTAATATATATTGCATTTAAAAAATTTCCACATATATACACACACACACATAGAGACAGATACACACGCACACACCAGGTCACACACATAGGCACACACACAGACACACACACATACATATAGAGATAGATAGATAGATAGATAGATAGATAGATAGGGTATGATAAAAAAACATATGTATACGCACATTTATTTAATTTTTCATTTTTCGATCTTTTAAAATTAAAACGGCATATTTAAATATTTTAGTCAACAACAATAAACAATCCTTAAGACACCATTTTAAATCGACACTTCCGGAACGCAAATTCATTAACTCTAACGGCTATAAGTTTGCTTGTTTGCTATCGACGTGGTATATATATGAGACTTCGTATTACCAACACACAAACAGAGAATGTCTCATATCGAGAATATTTAACATTGAACATAAGGAAAAAATTAATTATTTTAATAATATGTGGAAATCTCCGCTTTTACCTGAAGACGGTCACGAGACCAGAAACCCGTGTAGTAAAATTATGAAAAATAAACCATAATATTTTTTTAAAAAAATCCACATTACAACCAAAAACGTTTGCGGCACCTCTCTTCTCTTCTTTTAATATACATACTTTTCTCTCGTTGGAACCACTACAACCTCTTTTCTTTATATATATATATATATATATATTCATTTTCGTTATATTTACGTTTAAGTAAAAAAAAAATAATAATAATTTATAATCAAAATACAAAATTGTATTTTCCTTTCTTTTGTGTGGGTGTGTGGGTGTATATACATGTGTATGTGTGTGTTCGCCTGTACGTTCGTGTGTGTGTACATGTGTGTATGTGTGTGTACGCCTGTACGCGCGTGCATATTTGTGTGTACGCCTGTACGTGCGTGTATGTTTGTGTGTACGCCTGTACATGCGTGTATGTGTGTGTGCGTGTGAACTCGTGTAGAATGCCGTAGTTATTTTTTCTTTCTGTCATTTATTTGTTTCCTCATTTTGCTTATTCTTTGTTTGCGATTGTGTAGCGCCCGACCACGGGTTCGAAAAATTATTTGGTCTCGCCAAAATGTACCTGATTTGCTCACCCGAAGTCATTTTAAGCTTTGACAGTTTCGATATTTCTGAACAGGTTTGGCGCCATGCATGGCACTTACATGGAAGTCTCGAACTGACGAGCCTATTTACGAGACATGACTCAAGTTATCCGGTCAATCTTTTAGTGCTGTAGCAACTTGCGGTATTGTGAGAAACTATCTCAACTGCAGCCTAATAAATGACCAATTTCCTTAGATCCTCTATTAAATTTCTTATAACTGATCCATACATTGAGGTAGTTGAAGGATTTGCTATTTTATCAATTCCACATCCTAAATATTTAGGATGGATTTAGAGGATGTGCCTGAAATACTATTGCAGAAAAGCGAGCACTTATGTTTCATGAATTAACTAAAACATTTGATAAGCTTTTTAGTAAACTGACTCTTCATGTTATCCTAAACCATTATAACTAATAGAGATAGATAATGAACAGGCAGGCAGACAGACAGACAGAGAGATAGATAGATAGATAGATAGATAGATACTGAACAGATACTGAGATAGATAGATAGATAGATAGATAGATAGATAAAAAGATTGTGATAGATATATATAAAGAGAACGAGATACATAGATAGATAGATAGATAGATAGATAGATAGATAGATAGATAGATAGATAATGAACAGACAGATAGATACATAGATAGATATTGAACAAAATAGATAAATAGATAATAAACAGATTGATATGTATATGTATATATATATATATATATATATATATATATATATATATATATAGATAGATAGATAGATAATGAAATAGACTCACCGACAGATAGATCGATAGATAATAAACAGATTGAGACAGATAGATATGAACAGAACGAGATCGATAGATAGATAGATAGATAATGAACAGATATATAATAAACAGACTGTCATAGATAGATAGATAGATAGATAGATAATGAACAGTCTGAGATAGATAGATAGATAGATAGATAGATAGATAGATAGATAGATAGATAGATAATGAACAGACTGCGATAGATAGATAGATAGATAATGAACAGACTGCGATAGATAGATAGATAGATAATGAACAGACTGCGATAGATAGATAGATAGATAGATAGATAGATAGATAGATAGATAGATAGATAGATAATGAACAGACTGTGATAGACAGATAGAAAGGTAGATAGATAATGAAATAGACTGGGAAACAGATAAATAGATAAATAGATAGATAGTTATTGAACAGATGGACAGATAGATAATAGACTGAATAGATTGTGAGTGATAGATATGAAGAGAAGAAGATAGATAGATAGATAGATATATAATGAACAGACAGAGAGACACAGACAGACTGACAGACAGGCAGATAGATAGATAGATAGATAGATAGATAGATAGATAGATATGATGTAGTTTCTGTTAATTGGTGCAGTTCCTTGTTTGTGAATATATAGCGCCAGTCCACGATGTTCAAAGGAGTATGATCTTTGCCAAAGCCCTCTCGCTTCGTTCAAAGCCTTTAAAAAAAAAAAATTCATTGATCTTAGAAAGCGGTTATATAGAGCTGGCAGTTTACATATTTCTGAACGGGTTTAGCGTCATGCACGACATTTATATGAAAGTTTCCATCTGACAAGGCTAATTAAAATTATTCGACTCGAGTTTTTAAAGTGGACAATCATTCATCAACGACAAGGCCAAGTAAACCTTTTCCATATTGTATCAAAGTTTTAAATTGATTGTTGGGCAATTTCAGCCCAGATGTAGTAACACTACTTCATGTGCTTCATCCACCACAAGGAAAGTTTTTTTTCTCCACCGAATCCATCCTTCAGTCCTTGCATGGAATACTGCTGCCATATATGGTCTGAGACCCTGCTGTTCGTCTTAAGGTCCGCAACAAAAAGTCGGAGACAGATATGCAATGTTATTGGCCCTGATCTGGCATCTTGTCTACAGTCGCTCTCTCACAGACGTGTCGTCGCCTCCATCTGTCTTTTTTTATAAATACTTCACGGTAACTGCTCCGACGAGCCATTTTACCTAGTTTCAGACTGCATGAATTTAAGCGTGCTACTAGGCTGACATCACTGTCCCACCTTTCACTGTCGAAACGGTTAAATATACCGTCTCTTCTACCCCAATAGCTTCATGTCTCGCACCTCCCGCCTGTGTAATTTCATTCCTATTACTTGTTTCTTGATAGCTATAATCTCCAACTATTTAAATGTAATGTCAATCGACATCTCCCGATGCCCTGAACTATACCCTGCTCTTCTCTTCATTCTTTCCTCCATCACGATTCTTTACTCTAGCTCGTACTTTCTGTAACACCCTGAGTACTAGTGGCATCCCGCCTTGCTTGAGGGAAATAGTTTTAAAAAAAATGTATGTAAATGTTTATTTTTGTTTTTTTTTAATAGTTCCGCCCTAAGGACAATAAAAGAACAGATTTCAGGAAAAAAGAAGATGATGATTGATGTTGTATTTAAATTTTTGAAAGAAATCAGAAGTAGTTCAACACGTGAGAAGTACGAAAAATAGGAGCTATTAGAATAGAACTGGCGGTTTCATCTAGCTAGTTCAACAGAAAAAGGAGACCTAATTGCCAATCTAGTAGTACGCTTAAATTTATAAAGTCGAGGTAATAAAGATAGCAGCTTATCAAAACAATTGCCCTGAAAATAATTGTAGAAAAGACGAAGAGAAGACATGTCTTATCGGTAAGAAGGTGACTGAGGCCAAGGTGCCAGGACAGAAATGATGATATGACACACTGGATTTTGTTACGAATCTCGAGATGTAAAGCGGGGGCGGATATTCAATGAAGGAACGAATGGATTCTCACGAGATCTTATCTAGCAGTAGACCAGTTCGAATCGAGAAAATGCCTAGGGAGGATTAAGTTCTCCAAGCCCTCATTTTTCATTATAGGTTTAAAGAATTTCAGCTGTATTTTCTTGATTTTCTTGAGTCCGCAGTGTTTCTCCCCAGAATCTATCTTACATATTTATAAGTCTACCATTCATCCATTCTTTGAATATTGCTGCCACATATGGTCCGGTGCTCCTGCTATATATTTAGAGATTCTTGATAAAATCCAAAGAGTAATCTGCAATGTTTCTCTCCAGAATCTATCTTACATATTTATAAGTCTACCATTCATCCATGCTTTGAATATTGCTGCCACATATGGTCCGGTGCTCTTGCTATATATTTAGAGATTCTTGATAAAATCCAAAGAGGAATCTGCAATGTTTCTCTCCAGAATCTATCTTACATATTTATAAGTCTACCATTCATCCATGCTTTGAATATTGCTGCCACATATGGTCTGGTGCTAATGCTATATATTTAGAGATTCTTGATAAAATCCAAAGAGGAATCTGCAATGTTTCTCTCTAGAATCTATCTTACATATTTATAAGTCTACCATTCATCCATGCTTTTGAATATTGCTGCCACATATGGTCTGGTGCTAATGCTATATATTTAGAGATTCTTGATAAAAATCCAAAGAGGAATCTGCAATGTTTCTCTAGAATCTATCTTACATATTTATAAGTCTACCATTCATCCATGCTTTGAATATTGCTGCCACATATGGTCCGGTGCTCTTGCTATATATTTAGAGATTCTTGATAAAATCCAAAGAGGAATCTGCAATGTTTCTCTCAGAATCTATCTTACATATTTATAAGTCTACCATTCATCCATGCTTTTGAATATTGCTGCCACATATGGTCCGGTGCTCCTGCTATATATTTAGAGATTCTTGATAAAATCCAAAGAGGAATCTGCAATGTTTCTCTCAGAATCTATCTTACATATTTATAAGTCTACCATTCATCCATGCTTTGAATATTGCTGTCACATATGGTCCGGTGTTCCTGCTATATATTTAGAGATTCTTGATAAAATCCAAAGAGGAATCTGTAATGTTTCTCTCAGAATCTATCTTACATATTTATAAGTCTACCATTCATCCATGCTTTGAATATTGCTGCCACATATGGTCCGGTGCTCCTGCTATATATTTAGAGATTCTTGATAAAATCCAAAGAGGAATCGGCAATGTTTCTCCAGAATCTATCTTATATATTTATAAGTCTACTATTCATCCATGCTTTTGAATATTGCTGCCACATATGGTCCGGTGCTAATGCTATATATTTAGAGATTCTTGATAAAATCCAAAGAGGAATCTGCAATGTTTCTCTCCAGAATCTATCTTACATATTTATAAGTCTACCATTCATCCATGCTTTGAATATTGCTGCCACATATGGTCTGGTGCTCCTGCTATATATTTAAAGATTCTTGATAAAATCAAAAGAGGAATCTGCAATGTTTCTCTCCAGAATCTATCTTACATATTTATAAGTCTACCATTCATCCATGCTTTGAATATTGCTGTTATGAATTTAAGCGTAGTATGAGTTTGACGGTAAGGACTCAACATTTTACCGTCGAAATGGTGAGATGAAACCAGGAGTTCTATGTTAATAGTTTCTTCTCATGAAATTTTCGTCGTGGATTTCAACTTATTGTTCCATGTTTTCCATTCATGTTTAGTCTTCAAAACTTAAAATCAGTTTTAATCATTATCTTCACCTTCTTCGTCATCATCGTTTGTCATCCGGATGGTCGGAACCCATTGACAATCTTTTTTCAACACTGTTCGTTTCTTTGTATTGTTGTCCCTGTATCCCCAATGTCCAACCCTGAGTCCAGAGCCAAATGTCAAAGAAAGCGAAACTTTTGAGAAGAGCCCCCAGAAGGATGCGATAGGAATAAGGATGAGGCGATTTCCCATCCGCTCGATAGCAATGGCCGGCAAACTGTAATCACTTTTGTTTGAGCTTTAAAAGAGATTTGGTCTCAATTCCGTAAATTGTATCTGACATGGGATCTCCAATTGATGTTCTGATTTTGTTAAGTAGATTTATCAATGTTTCATCCAATTGTCTTTCAAGACGAACAGATAAAGTTCAAGTTTCTGATCCATACAGTAGGACTGGTTTAATCATGTTCGAAAGGTTATTCTTTATTTTTTTCGGACCTATTCTGATTCACAAATAATTACAAAGAATGAAACTTAGAGAAAAACACTGGGTATAGTTCATTGAGGAAAAGGATAAAAGATAAACAGGGTTCAAATAGAAGATGACCATTGACATTACATTTAATTCGATTATAGTTTTAGGGAAACAAGTAAGAGGAAGTAAATTACACAGTCGAGAAGTGGGAGAAAAGAAACTGTTAGAGTAGAAGTGGCGATTACATTTCACTATTTCAACAATAAAAGTGTGGGACCCAAATGCCAATCTAGTAGCACGCTTAAATTCATGCAGTTGGGGCACTAGGAAAAAATATTTTTAAAAAAAGGATAGAGGAAAGCCACATCACATGTGAGAAAGTGGCTGAAATCGAAATCCCAAATCAGGATCGATTATATTACAGATCCTTCCTTGAATTTTGTCAAGAAATTGAGATGAGTAGCCTGACCATTATATGGCAACAGCATTCAATGTAAATTTGTAAATGCACAAGATGGATTCTAATAAGAAAAAAGGTTCTAACACTGCACAATTAACCAAATTTATTTGGCATTCATTTATTTAAATCATTCTTGTCTTTTTTTCCATTGTCTTAAGGTGTTAGTAAATCACGGATACACTAATGCCCATTATGGGCGACTGAGGCTGGATAATATCAAGATAATTATTCTGTATTTCGAAGCACCCCATTAAAAATCTGAACGAACGTATCCCTCTTCAGGATGATTTTGAATTCAGAGATTTCTTTTCTTGAAAATTTGGTTACTACTTTCACAAGAAAGCTTCAGTCTACCCTGTTATTTAACTAAAGGGGAAAAATAGTCTCATGCCTTTTTTCAAAGGACATTAGCGTGGACGGATGAAATAGAATTGACCGAAATCGAACTTTCAAACGCGCCGATTTCACTTCCGGTGTCGGTGATTTCAACTCTAAAAAGATAGGCTTCAAATAATTATAAGACTCGACATATTTCAAATCCAATTTTCTTAAGATTTTCTTTGATTTGCTTCAAGTTTTAGACAAATTTGAAAAGAGAAATCAAATTAAAAAACATTTCAAATCATCAGAATACAGTGACCGAAAAATTAATCAACGACTGTCAGGTTTCGATTACTGTCAGAGATTGTTCAAGACACGACCAAATAGGAAACAAAATATGAAAATCTAATATTCATCACCATCATTATCATCCTTCGACTTCCCGTTGGTTGGTCGGAACTCCATAGACAATCCTTTTCCACACCTATTGATCCTGTATTGCTGTCTCCAGACCTCCAATGTCCAAACCTGAACCCACAGCTATGGAGTCAGGAAAAGCCGTTTTGACGAGAAGATACTTCCAGAAGGATGCCATTGGATTAAGGATAGACGATTTTCCTATTTCGGTGGCAGGATATTGGCAAACTTTATAACTCTTACTCTCTCTCTCCCCCCCTCCCTCTCTCATTTTTTGCTTTATCAATCTTTCTTTCTTTTTCTTTTTTTGTTTTATATCCTTCATCATCACCACCATCATCGTCCTTGACCTTCCCACGTTGCTTTGAACCCATTGATAATCCCTTTTTGCACACTTTTCAGTCCTGCATTGTGTCCGCAGATCCCCAATATGGAAACCTGAGTCCCTACCTTTCAGTGTCTAGGAGAGTCAATTTCGTCCAAGACACATCCAGAAGGATGCCATAGGGAGTAAGGATGAAATGATTTCCGTCTGCTCATTTGCATGTGGATATTCACCTGTTTTATTTTTTTACTTTCTTTTCTCCTCGCTCCCATTTATTGCTTTATATCGCAGGATTTTCCTTCACTCACTTATTTAGATCTTTATCACTCATCATCATCTTTCGACTTCCTTATGGTTGGTCGGAACCCATTGACAATCCTTTTCCACACTGTTCGATCTTGCATTGCTGTCCCAAGATCCCCAATGTCCAACCTGAGTCTCGAGCTATGGTGTATGGGAAAGTCAATTTTCGTGTGAAAACACCCCAGAAGGATGCAATTGGAGTAAGAATGAGACGATTTCCTTTGACCGGTGGCAATGACCGGCAAACATATCACTTTACTTTGTCTCTCTCTTCTCTCTCTTTTTCCCTCTTTTTCTCCTCAATTACTTGCTCACTTATCGCTTTCTTTTTACCTCTTTTAAAATTGCTTCTTATCATTCATCATCATCCTTTGACCTCCGTACGGTTGGTTAACTCCATAGACAATCCTTTTTTCCACACTGTTCCATCCTGCATTGCTGTTCCAGATCCCTAAAGGCCCAACCCTGAGTCCAGAGCTATGGTTGTAGGAAAGTCAATTTTTTGTGAAAGACTTTTTATATTTTCACCCTAAGCAAGGCAGGAGGCTACTAAAAATTATTATTATTAAATTACACGGAGGAAAGTAAGATTAAAAGGGTTGTTTAATGGAAAGATATGGGATCAGAAGATATTTCTTGACATTACATTTAAATATTTGAAGATTATAGTTATCAGGGAAGGAAGAAAGAGGAAGGGAGACCCACTGTAGGGAAGTGCGAGGAAGAAGCTGTTGGAGTAGAAGAGGTGGTTACATTTAGATTTTTTAAGAGAACCTAAAAATAAAATTAATCAACGACTGTCAGCCCTGATTATTTTCATTAGAGATTGTCTGAAGAGGCGATGAAATAAGAAACAAAAGATGAAATCTAATATTCATCTTCATCATCTTTCGGCTTCCCTCATGGTTGGTTGAAACTCCATTGACAATCCCTTTCCACACTGTTCGATCTTGCATTGCTGTCTCCGGGATCGCTAATGTCCAACCCAGAGTCTCGAGCTATGGTGTAAGGGAAAGTTAATTTTCGTGTGAAGACCCTTGCAGAAGGATGTCATTGAGTAAGGGGTTAGGACGATTTCCTGCCCACTGGTGGCATTGACCGGCAAATTTGTTATCACTTACTCTCTCTCTCTCTCATTTATTGCTATTATATCTCTTTTTTCTCATTCATTTTTTCTGTTCATCATCATCATCATCATTTTTATATATTATCCTATGACCTCCCTATGGTTGGTCGGAATTCCATTGATAGTCTTATGGGCCACACTAATCGATCTAGCATTGTTGTTCCAGATCCCCAATATCCAAGCCTGAGTAACGAGCATGGTGTAAAAGAAAGCCAATTTTCGAGGAGAAGACACTTCCAGAAGGACGCCATTGAAGTCAAAAAAAAGGTTCCCATTCCTTTTGTCTTTTGTTCCATCCAGTCGTCTTCTTCAAACGAGCAGATAAAGTTCAAGTTTCCTGATCTATGCAATGGGACCGGTTTAATCAATGTTCGAAAGTCCTTGACATTTAAATCAAAGGTCTGAGTCCAAATTTTTTTTGAAGTTTGTAACCCACCTCCCATGCAAGAGCGGATGTTGAAGTCTTTTAGGGATCTATTTTTTCCAATCAACATATTAGAAATTAGATTAATTTTATGATTGAAGTATTTTTTGAAAAAATTAAAACGTTGGTTCAGGAGGGTGGATATTTTTTACCTTACTCACGTTGAAATAGAGACCTTCCTGGTTGGATAGTTTGGTCGAGTAATTGCAGAAAGGATGTCTGCATCTTTGATACATTGGAAATTAATGCAAGATCATCGGCAAATTTTGGCCAGTCCTGTGTATTGTGAAGGGTTTATACTATTTTCATGAGGTTTCAAAAAAGTCCTTTTTGCACCATTTGTCCAGAAGAACTATAAACAGCTTCCTTAATCATCTTTCCACATTATTTAGATGAGGTATTATGTACACTATTTAAAATTATTGTACCCTTGTCCTCCCTTTGCTGCCATATTTATCACCCTTTCAGTATCTGTCTATATTTTTGAGATAAGGTATTATGTACACTGATTTACATTATTTTGACTGTCCTCATCTTTTATTGTCATATTTATCACCCTTCAGTATCTGTCTATATTTCTGAGATAAGGTATTATGTACATTATTTACATTATTCGGACTGTCCATCATCTTTGTTGCCACATTTATCACCCCCTTCAGTATCCGAAATATTACTGAGATGAGGTATTATGGAACTATTTACATTGTTCGGACTATTGTCCCCATCTTTGTTGCCATATTTAAGAGAAATTTCAAACATTTCTGAGATGAAAGAAACAACACTTTTATTTACATTTATTCGGACTGTCCTATCTTTGTGGTCATATTTATCACCCCTTCAGTATGAGGTCAATATTTCTGAGATAATTTATTAATATTTACAAAATTCGGACTGTCCTCATCTTTGAAATATTTATACCCTTCAGTATCTGTCTATATTTCTGAGATAAGGTATTATGTACACTATTTACATTATTCGGACTGTCCTCATCTTTGTTGTCATATTTATCACCCTTCAGTATCTGGCTATATTTCTGAGATAAGGTATTATGTACACTATTTACATTATTTAACTGTCCTGTCTTTTTTGCAATATATTTATCACCCTTCAGTATCTGTCTATATATATAGATGAGGTATTATGTACACTATTTATATTGTTCGGACTATTGTGCTCATCTTTGATGAATGTTTATCACCCCTTCAGTATCTGATTATATTTCTGAGATGAGGTATTAACTGTATATTATTTACATTGTTCGGACTATTGTCCTCATCTTTGTCGCCATATTTATCACCCTTCAGCATCTGTCTATATTTCCTGAGATGAGGTATTATGTACATTATTTACATTATTCGGACCATTGTCCTCATCTTTTGTTGCCATATTTATCACCCTTCAGTATCTTTGCCTATATTTGGAGATGAGGTATTATGTACACTATTTATACTTGTTCTTCGACTATCGTTTTCATCCTTTTTTGTTGCCATATTTATCACGAGATGTTTCGGCCGTTGTACGCTTCTGGCCTTCTTCAGGTGGTTGGAATGTCGAACTTAACCCCTTTTATTTCCGCTGGGGTAGACTGTTCTAGTTCCACTTTCCATGTTCATGGACTCAGTTATCTCCTGCTAATTCCCTCCAAGTTCTCCACTGCCTTAACCAGGTATTGAACTCACACTCTTTGGGTCCTGTCACTAAATCTAACACCTTTATCCATTGCGCAGTATGTACTTATGTATAAATTTCTTGGACTGAGAACTCAATGTCTTCAGCAGTTTTAACCAGTAATAAGGCGGGCCAGAGAAAATCAATAATAATAATGAAAATTATAATATGAGCTCTAGTAAAAAATAATATGCAATGATAAAAGCAAAAATTGCAATATGAACATTGGCAAAAATGGCTGTCAGAAACGCCGGATAAATATGGCAAAGATAAGAATGATAGTCCGAATATAAATAGATTCTTAATGCTTGTTTTTCTCATATAGTTCAACTTCAGTAAGCCCCTTGCGTCTTAGTGGCTTTATCTCCTTGCTTGGTGTGAAATAGTTACAAAATTATTCGCTTTATTTTTTTTCATTCTATTTCGTCATTAATTCTTAATTATCTGTAATTTTCCATTTTGAATTTGGCTTTTTTTCACATTTATAATTACTTTAGATATTTATTTTATTATAATAACATCACATATCTGGTCATAATCTCAGGATGTTAAACGGGTAGGTCTTTAAGAAGTAGCTGCTGAGCTTAAAGGGAAAAAGAGTTAAACATATAATCTCTTGAGTAATTATTACTGTAACAAATCTCCAATGGGCTGTCCAGGTATGTTTGGTTGATTGATCGTTTTGTCTAGCGGCATATCAACATCTCCATGGGTTATTTAATGTCGAAATCTAAATATTTGGAACACAGTTTTATGGTTTCAAATCCGTACATATAAAATGTATTGTTGTTCTTTTTTATATAAAATTTTTATTCTTTAATATTGGCTGTTTGGTTTTTTGTTTAGCATATCAACATCTCTATGGGTTATTTATTTATTTTATTTTGAGATAATAATAATGGTTGTCCGTGATACAAGTCTTACTAATTAACCCATAGCTGGAGGGACTAGAGGTGGATTTAGCGTTTTCCAAGTGCGTAAGTGAATATAACAAACACGATAGGAAATTGGAACTTAGCTCCCTGATTAAAAATTCTGCATCATTATCCATTGTCGCCTGCATAGCCGAGCTTACAGCACTAGTATTTCAAACCTCCCCCATCCCTAGTTAATTACCAGGCTCGACGTTGCTTAACTTCAGGGGATTCTACAGTTAGCGATGTTTCAACATGATATGTCCGTCCCCTTTATACTAAACCATACATCTAAATATACAATACCTGGTATTCTTAAGCGGTCACCTTTGCAGGTACTCGACCAGACGTAACGTTGCTTAACTTCGGTGATCGCACGAGGACCGGTGTTTCAATGTGATGCAGCCGTAATCTATACCAGCCACATCCGCTTACAGCACCTGGTATTCGCAAAAGTGGTTACGCATTCAGGCACTGACCAGGTTGCTTAACTCGGTGATCGCGCGAGTACCGGTGTTTCAATGTGATTCAGCCGTAATCTATACCAGCCGTAATATCCGAAGCTTACACCACCTGGTATCCGCAAGTGGTTACCCATCTGGGTACCTGACCAGGTTCGACGTTGCTTAACTTCGGTGATCGCGTTGAGTACCGGTGTTTCAATGTGATGCAGCCGTAATCTATACCAGCCGTACATCCAAGCTTACAGCACCTGGTATTCGCGGGTTACCCATTCAGGGTAATTGATTCAGGTTCGACGTTGTTTTAACTTTGGTGATCGCACGAGGACCGGTGTTTCAACGTCTAGAAATAAGTTTCAGTTTCGGTTATGTTTCATTCAAGGCGTGTGCTAATAATTTCTCCTCCTCGTCAACATCTGTGATGTTCGAACCTTACTAGATCCTTCACCATGTCCCAAATTGCGTGCCCATATCTGGGTTGAACTCGAAGAGCTATTCCGCATGCGTGGTGTTACTTTGCAGAAGGTACAATTAACGGATCCTTACCTGCACCAGGCAACATCACAACTGATGTCCTCCATCTTGATGTTTGCCTTTGTCATTGATTCCATCCGTAGAACCCATTTTCTGCGCTGTAGATTTCAGTCTGTGAAACCCCTTCGTCCAGGGGGTTCCGTGAAATTAACGCCCTTGATATTACGTACTCAGACGCAGTTTTCATCATTCAACCATGGTTCTATTTTCGTTGGTTGGACCCATAATTCATAACAAGAGAAATACGGTATATATTTTCTAAACCTGTTAACAGAATGGATGATAAACTATTTTAGACGCACCTAAACAATCTAACACGATTTTTGCCTTTGGTTTGTTAACCCAGGAAGTTCATAAGAGGTAATACGCAATTACTTTCCAAGCACAGTATTATAAATAGTAGAAAAAACATCAAAGAATTTACTAGAAACACCATAGCTTAGGTAATACCAATTATCTATTAAAAAACAAAACACGTTACGATCTCGTACATACGTCGTAAGACAAAGAAATAACAAACGATATCTCGTCGCACGGCGCACTAAAATATATAAAAACAAAACAAAGTTGTGTCAAATGAGGACATTTGTTCAAAAGAGATAATATCTTGATAGCGTTGTGTTAAAACTGAAGCTTTGAGTAATTGGTCTTGATTCCATGTGCAACTGAGCGGGAAATTTGGGCTAATTGTCTAAGCATTAATCTTCAAAGACGTTGGTGTTGGTCAAATAACTGATTATTAGAATATGCGACTGATTTTATCCGGGTGGCATATCTGAAAAGAAATGTTTGATCAGTCAACACGGGAAACGAGTCAGGAGCTTTGCGCATGACAGCACGGATCGATAAACGGAAGAGTGTAAGAATCCAAACAGGAGTATGAATGGTATTGGGCTGTACAGAGATGCATACTTTATCTATCTATCTATTCATCTATCTATCTATCTATCTAACAATCAATATATATAACCTTCTATCTGTTCATGAGCATTCATTCCGTCTGCTTCTTTCTTCTTTCTTTTCGTTCTTTCTTTCTTTCTTTTTTCTATCATCTATCTATCTATCTATTCATCTATCTACTCCATTCATCTATCTATCTATCTTCAACAATCAATATATATAAATCTGTTTAAATCGTGATCTATTTAAATTATCCATCTATCTATCTATCTATCTATCTATCTATCTATCTATCTATCTATCTATCTATCTATTTCAATCTGTTCTCATCTATCTATCTATCTAACATGCAATATATATAAATCTGTTTAAAATCGTTATTTGTTTAAATTATCTATGTATGCATCTATGTATGTATGTATGTATTCATATATATATATATTATTACGTACATATATATCAATTTATCTAAATTCGTTTAGATACTAAATTGTTTAAATTATATATCACTCTTTACATATATGTGTGTGTGTGTATCGATCTATCCAAATCTGTTTATATCGTAGTTCTGCTTAAATAATCTATCTATATCTGTTTATATCCTAATCTGTTTAAATTATTGTTTCATATATATATATATATATATATATATATATATATATATATATATATGTATGTGTGTGTGTGTTTATATATATATATATATATAATTAAAATATAATGATAAATATAGAAGAATTTGTTTCACCTTGTTTCATTCTCTATTGCGGATGATGTTGAATGAAGATTCTACAATCTACATTCAACATCATTACTTGATAAGACACCGGAGGTGTTGAAACAAAATGGCTATTTTTTTGTAGTGATTTTATAAATATTTTATGTTATAATTTTTTTAATTAATAATAATTATATCTGCCTACTTTGTATTGAGTAATTTTTTAAGAATAGTAATTGTTGGTTATTGGAATTCATTCCGTATATACTAATTATATACTTGTATATATATATATATATATATATATATATATATATATATATGTATGTATGTGTGTATATATACGATCCATGTAAATCTGTTTATATCGTAGTCTGTTTAAATTATCTATCTATTTATCTATCTATTTGAATCTACATAAGAATTTACGCTATTATATTGTTACGCCTTTTGGAGGAAAATGGCATCTAATTCCATCAAAGCGTAAAAACCTAAAATGCGATTTTTTAGAGTAATGTATAAGACATAACAGAACGTCCAATATATCCTATCGAAGTCGATGTATTATTGCTGACTGAAACTTGCACAGCTTCCAGCTAAAATCGAATTGTTGTAACGCCGAAGGAGAAATCCTTTAAAAGTATTCAGGAACACCAATAGTGGCTGCCTTTACATGGATCTTCCCTTTTTCACACACCTGTGGTATCGTGGCAGGGACTGGGGAAGTCCGTGTTTTTTTTTTGATGATTAGACGTCCCAGACCTCACGTGTTTACGTTGGTTGATGGTTGTTTTCTACTGCACCTGATTTTATTTATTTGTTTGTTTATAATATTTGTAAAATATCTCATGTTAATTTAATGCATCAAAAGTTTTATTTATTTATTTTTTTTTTTTTTTTTGGTGGAAAAACCAAGAGATCTTTATGAGATTTCGCTTTGTATAAGTAATTACATTTTTACAAAAAAAACCAAAACCTACAAAATACACATAGGAACGTTAAAAATATCAAAGACAAAGTGAAATTTCGATTGTATTACGAAAAAAAATGAAAAAAAAATAATAATAATCGAACCAAACACAATTGACAGGATTAGTTTATCAGATTTAATATATTGACTGAATTCCCTTGAAGGTTAAGCTGTTGTGCTGGTACTTAAACCTAAAATCTGACGATCGTTTGATCAGGAATCAATCAAAAATGGTATCTCTATACGCGTATCAACACAGCCTGAGCTTCGATTTGATCACTGTTTTATGTCAATCTGAACAAATTATTTAAAATTTACACAGCATGTCAATTCGTTTCGCTGATGGGTTGGTTGCAATTTTTTCTGATCCCAGCTCACTTGATCTTCTGTCAGTCTCTGTTTATTTATTTAGTTGAGAATGTTTAAGCCTTAATCAACGAAAAGGGCGAGAGAATAAGTGAATGTAAAAATGAACAAAACAAAGTGACGACGGGAAGGTTTTTTTTGGGGTTTTTTTTCTTTTCCAAAAAAACTTCCAAAAGGTTTTGTTTTCAAATACACAGTAGCTTCACATCAAGTGCCTTAAAGTGGTGGTGCTGCCCTGTATCAAAGGGCAGCTGTTGGAAGAACCCACGTCTGACAACAGGACTCTGCACCATGTCACAGAAGTAGAGAACACAGTCATGGCTTTCAGACAATTTCTGCGACCACATCACATCTTACATCTGGCTACCTAGCTCCCCCAGACTGGTAAACCCTTTTGATTATATGTGGTGCGCAGTTGAGCGTGAAAAAAAGGTGAAATTAATGTTATTTCATACGCCTTTGTTATTCGACATATATATATATATATATATATATATATATATATATATATATATATATATATATGCATATGTATACTATGGGTAAAAGGCAAAAATTGTCCAAATCGTGTACCAACATATTATCCATCCCACAAAAAAGTTTAATATAGAAAAAAAACAAACAAAAAAACACTAAACTAATTTAGTTTTTTTTTCCAGGTTTTCAGATAAACATTTCGCCATCTTGGCACCATTTGTCGTAAGAATCACTTAAAAAACCATTTGAGTTATTCAGCAAGAAAGAGAATAGGGCTAAAACTGTTTTGTTTCAGCTCCACTGTCTTCTCAAGTGAGCAATGGTGAAAAGGAAAACGATCATTCATCTTCAAAGCCCATTCAAGAGAAGAGAACGGTGAATAAATGTAAGAAAGAGAGAAGAATAGGGGAGAAAAATTGGATCAGGAGGTCACAACAGGAATAGGGATCGTCATTTTCAAGATAGAGCTTAGAGATTAGTTTGAAAAGATCCAACTGAATCCATGAGACATTTGGCAGGTGAGAGAGAAGTTTCAGCAATAACAGTTGCAAAGACTTGAAAATCATATCGTACGTGAAACGTAGGAAATCTTACCAAGGCAGAAAGTTAGAAGGTTACAGAGGGTAAAGAAACATCTTGAATTAATTGGAAAATGATCATTGAATAATATATATATATTATTCCACGATCATTTGATATGAATATATGATATTTTATGAATGTATGTATATTTGTTCAATAACAAATATATATATATATATATATATATATATATATATATATATATATATATATATTTTTAGCGACTAAATGTGAGTTTGTGATCTGGGTTTCACGCTTTGCGTGAAACCCGGGACACAAAACTCACATCTATCCAACCAAAATATGTTATGTTAGCTCTATCTCTGATATTGAGCGCTTTATCACCATTTGAATTTTTTAAAATGATAGACCCTGTTGTCAATCTGATACTGCCTTAATTTCATAAAGTCTGAGTATCATAACGGAAAGAACAATTCCATGAAATATTTATAGAAAGACAGTGAAATTACGGCCGTGGGAAGAAGACTGAAGATGGCATGTCAGGACCATAACAATGCGGATTCCTCTGGATTTTATCAAGAATCTCTAAATATATAGCAGGGCACCGGACTATATCTGGCAGCAATATTCAAAGCATGTATGAATGGTAGACTTATAAATATGTAAGATAGATTCTGGAGAAACATTGCAGATTCCTCTTTTGATTTTATCACGAATCACTAAATATATAGCAGGAGTACTGGACCATATGTGGCAGCAATATTCAAAGCATGGATGTATGGTAGACTTATAAATATGTAAGATAGATTCTGGAGAAACATTGCAGATTCCTCTTGGATTTTATCAAGAATCACTAAATATATAGCAGGAGCATCGGACCATACGTGGCAAAGCAATATTCAAAACATGGATGAATGGTAGACTTATAAATATGTAAGATAGATTCTGGAGAGAAACATTGCAGGATATATGTGATACTAAATTTACACACTTTGATATGAACTAATCTTGTACAGAGAACAACAAAATTCATTATTCTCAAAATGCTCAGGTTAAAAAATGCGATAGGATTTTTCTGTCCAACCTATTATATATCTAACGGATACGACAACTGATATTTCGCTTCAGAATCTGAAACAACGACTTCCTCCATTTTCCTGTAACTGACCTCAGAGGTCAAAATGAGGAAGTGGAGGAAAATATAATTCTTTAAACAAAATAATCTGCGGAATATTATACAACTGTATTAAGAAACAGGAACATTATTTACATTATTCCCGAACTAAATGTCCTTTGTCATATATTCCATCACCCTTCGCCACTGATATTCATTATTTACATTATTCGGACTATTGTCCTCATCTTTGTTGCAGTTATCGCCCTTCAGTATCAATATTTCTAGGATATGAGGTATTATGTACATTATTTACATTATTCGACTATTGTCCTCATCTTTTGCTATAGTTATCGCCCTTCGGCATTTCTGAGATGATATTTGAGTTACATTATTCGAACTAATGTCCCCATCTTTGTTCATTATTTATCACACTTCCCATTATCTGTCTGTATCTCTGATGATGTGTGTGTATTTACATTATTCGGACTATTGTCCTTATCTTTGTCACCATATTTATCATCCTTCAGTATCTGTCTATATTTCTGAGATAAAGTATTATGTACACTATTTTACATTATTCAACTAATGTCCCTATCTTTTGTCGCCATTCATCACCCTTCCGCATCTGTCATATTTCTGAGATGAGGGTATTATGTACATTATTTGAACTATTGTCCATCATTGTCGCCATATTTATTGGCAACGTTTCGGCCGTTGTACGCTCTGGCTTTCTTCAGTGA